GTAACCCAAAAAAATCTTAATGAGTATGCATATCAATAGTATACGTTTGAAATTGCTCATCAAGCATTAAGATCTCTACCGATTTAAAATTTTTAGATAATACTTACATAGTTGAATTGACTTGTCCTTATCAAAAGCAGAAAATGGGTTATCCGAACACAAACATGGAACACAATGGAGTAAGTCGCTATTTACCTTGGAGAAACGATTATTCAACTCCCGAAGTTGCATATCGATAAGGCATGGAAGAAATCCACATGAAAGTGATATATTTGTAATTCCTTAGGTATTACGCACCGTATGACGTAGAGGTATAAACATATCATCCATGTTTGGAATATCAATTTTTTACCTTTAGCAAAAATAAGAAACTATTCTAAAAAATGTTCTCATTCATCGTCCCTCGTTGTTTGGAGTCGTTCTTTACATATTTTCACTAATCTCATGTCATTGACAATATCTTAATCTTTCTTTTGTAATGCTTTCGACAATTTATCAAAATACCCAATACATTTTCCATGAGACATAGACTAAATGCAAAATCAAATGTTAGCATTGATCCCAACCAAATACGCACTTCACCTCTTTTTCTACATCTAGTATCATCAATGGCAATCATCTTTACGACACCAACTATAGCTGAAAACATGAGAATCAAGTTAAGTAAAAAATTTAGTGAGAGTCCCAACATGTATGACTAGATTTCTTAAGGGTAATTTCTTAATTAAGGCCCTGTTCACTTGGGATTTCACCTAGTTTCAACAACTTCTTGAAACTTCAAGCTTCTTTTTCTCTGGAAGATCACACCATTTAGTTGATCCTCCAATAATATTCACCACTTAAGTAACTAAAGCAAAGAATGTTTCTGTAACGCTCCGAAAATTTTAGAATAAAAATTTATTTGTTCTATATATTATATTTTATTATTTTAAAAGTTGAGAGACTAAAGTGATATATATATTAACTTCAAATTTTGAGCTAAATTTTTAGATATTGTTAAAGCGACGAAAATTATATCAATATGGGGCTCGTTAGATAGCTCGTAATTAATCATGTAAATTAGGCTCGAGAAAAAGTTAATTCGGAT